CACCATTTTCATTCCTTTGCAATAATAGACAAAATTTATGGCTATATTAGCAACCTTCTTCCTTCCTGGAGAGAGCTGATTCTTTGAGTTTAGACAGACACAATAAGCAACTGCGTCAAAGCCACTTGGAATTGTGGCTGGCACATAGCTGTGTGAATCCTTGGAAAAGTAAGCACAAGGTAGAATGCAACATCATCTTCCATTGATTCCCAGTTTTGGTGTCACATTAACAGCAACAAAAAATACACTGAAAGATTGCAGGTTTAGACTACTGATTTCTCAGATGTCTCTATCTGATGGAAAGCAGCCCTGTGTTAATGTGACCTACCCTTTCAGGTTGTGAATCTGGGTCTGGGCTTGTGGGCTTGCACAGGACACTGTGGGATACCTGCTCTAGTAATCAACCTCCTATTCACACTGATGCAAAAGTTTGTCAGGCTTGCAGCAGGCAGCGATGGCATGCTGTGTTCCCCATGCCCCTTTTGAGCTGGCACAAGAGCAGCCATGACACGGTGCTCCTTTCCCACCCCCTTTCCCTGGGACAGACGCCCCACATTTTGGGGAAGAGAGAGCAACCACACATGAGTGTCTTTTCTTGCCTGGAAGCTCGGAAGGGCTGCTCCAGCATGTCGGGATGGGCCTGGAGCCATGTTCAGTAGCCAGGACAGAGCTGGGCACTCCCCCAGGGAAGGGAGTGAATGGGTGATTGCTGTGCCAGCCAGTTGTTACAGGCAAACCTTCTCTTGCAGCCTGAGGGGATTGCTAAGCATTTAGCAGCTCTTATATTTCGATTGGTAATACTCACTGAACTGCCACAGCAGCTTAGTGTGTTCCCACACCTCCTGCAATAAGTGCATCCGAGGAGATATGAGTAGTGGGATGAGGTTATTGATGCTGGGCTTAGGGTGAGATGGGAAAATCAATGCCTGGGTGTGAATGTTCTCATGCAGGATTTTTGGGGGGTTTTTTGTGGTAATCAGGAACAAAGAACATGGACAAGTGCCAGACCCTGCTGTCCCTTACATTGTCATCAGGGAAGGAAAGCAACAGGAAAGGAGAGCACTGGTCCCCACAGCAGCAGCAGCTGTTGCACACATCCTATTAAAGTAGGTAGGAGACAGTGCCTCTGATATGTTTCCCAGGCTGCAGTAACAGCTCTGGTGTCTTTCTAACAGTGCAGAGAGGACAGAGGCCAACTTGCCCAGAAGCTGTCAAGAGGGAGTGCAGGAAGGGTTATTTTGGCAACAAAGAGCTTCTGGTTCTCAGGCATCTTGTGCACACTCACCCTTAGCAAAGAGAACAGAGGTGACAGTGGAACAACATTCTGTTATTCCAGAGGTGAACCAGTTCTGGAAAGCAGAAATGAGAATATAATTTCACCATTTTCTGCCCACTTCTGTGAATGGATAATAAAAGCACTGATCTCCCTTGTAAAAGCATGCTGGTGTTTCTGAATGAAAAGTGCTGCTATTACTTTCTTGTAATAGCAAGAATGACCTTTATTTTCCCTTTATTTATTTATTTACTGAACAAGGTGCAAATTGCTGGTGACCAGCAGAGATGTATGTCAGTGGACACATCCCTGCAGACCCCGAGCAACTGTTTGCACTGAGACTCCTTGTGTCACAATTTATTCACATGCTGTGGTGATATTGCATGAAATGAGGGCAGGAATTTGGTCTGGAAGAACTAAGGGGGCTCAATAGTGTGGCCTGGGGATGTACACCTCTCCCATGGCCATCAGCACCTGTGGAAATCCAGGGCACCAGGAATATTTCTTTGTCTACCCTGGGGTGCTCTGACCTCTGGGGGAGCACTGACTTTGACCCTCATTCATGGAGAAGTTTCCTAAACTTCAAGATAGACTAGGATCCACTAAATTGTGAAGTAGATCTTAGCGAGTAGTGTAGGTGTATCACTTAGGTGAGAAATTTAGGTTTTGGGATTTTTAGTATGTTGTGGGTGGAAGCAAGATGGAGGGCACAGGGTATCATCCTGGCTTTCTTCTTCGTGCTTCTTCTTCCTCCTTCTTCATGGGTTTGGGTGGCATTTTGTAATTGGGTGGAAAAATCTGCATTGCAGACTCTTTGGGATCAGTTATTGTGTTAAAAGGGGAAATAATCTAGGTGCCAGTTCTTAATTGCATAGTTTAGTTTTGAAAGACCTTGTAACAAGAGATTGTTAGCCATTTTTGCGGTGCTTTTCCAGTCCGCTGAGCCTGGTGTGGACAGCTTGCAAGACTTTAGATAAGATAATAATAAACAAGAACCTGAAGACCAAAAAAATCCAGTGCATCTCTCCTGACACAAAACCACTCCAGGACGGTCTCCCCCGAAAGGGGAGCCTCCTGGGAGGGCCCAGCCTGTGACCCAGAAGCCAGAGAATGGGCAACAGGTACCCCGGCAAGAACTCACTTTCTGCTTTATATGAGCAGAGGGAGGAAAGGTGTCCCAGTGGTACCATGGCTGGCCTGTGACGTGGCCACTGACCTGCACTGTGGCAGTGTGTGTGTCTCCACAGTCCTGGGGAAAGTCATTAAGGGCCATTTCAGACCTACATACCTTGGAAATACTTTCTCTTAATTCCTCCATGCTTCTCTTTCATATCTGAAAGGTGACTTTCAAGAATTTTGTCATGCAGGAGTCATGTGCAAGATAAGCAGAGATAAATACCTGAGATAAATACCAAAGATAAGTTAAAGCTGTTATCTGAAAACCAGCTGAATAGGATTGAAAGTCTTTAGCCTTTAAGGGGGTAAGAAAAAGTCTTGGTCTTCATTACATTACTCTAGGCAACAAGCATGCTATTTTAAGATTTGTGGGCAAGTCTTGTTTTATCTTTTATCTGGACTGAGATTATCATGGCTGATACTGATACTGCAAATAACTGTTAGGTTTAGTGGTTTCATGGTATGCTATCCATCCAAACTGGTCCTTAAATGACTCCTCTGCTTGCCTGGAGGCCTGCAACTTTTTGTTCTAACAGCTGGACCACGTCCTGAAATCATTATCTCCCTGTGATGTACCTGGAAACTTAAAGGAAGTGGCTTGGTCAAACTTGGACAGGAGTTTTTTGTTAGAACCTGGAACTGAGTCGAAGGCTAACATCCCACACGTTGAGAGGGATGAGTTCTCAGCCCAGAGCTGCCCAGCACTCTTGGATCTGACTTGAACACATTCAGGTGAGTGTCTGACGGAGTGTTATCCTTGTAAGTTTGGGTTCAACATCCTGTACAACCACAGCCTCTGAGCACATCTGTCAGAGCCACATGGCCACTTTTGGACAGGCAATCTAATGTGATGGCAAGGAAAAAAAGGAAGAGGAAAAGAAACAAATGTACTGTAGAAGTGTTACATCTTTCAGATGCAAAAAGAACAATCACAGAAAAATGTTATGCCCATACTGGAAAACATACAGTGGTTATCATAGAAATAGCAATGAAATATGCAGGCTATGTGAGCTACACAGTGCAGTCAACATATGTCAACCACCTAAAGCTTTCTGACTGTGGAGAACATATCTAGTCCCAGGTTTATGGCTTCTGAGGCAACGGACTGTAATAAGATCACAGCAACCAGCTTCCTGGAAAAGTGATCTAGCTACAAATAATACATGCTCATAATTATACTACAAATATCTCAATCAGTAGTCACTTGTGCTTCTTGTGCAGGCTAGCTGTAAAATACAGTTAACAGAAGAGCAAGCACTGTGCTCATAAAGTTATGTGATAATTTGAAAGTTAAAGTAAACATGTTCTGCCTCTGTTACTGCTCCCTGTGTTTATTCCCCACAAGTTACAGTAGGGAAGAGGTGAAGAGAAAGAAAAAGACAGAGGAAAAATTTACCTGTACTTCCATTCCTCGTATCCCTGCTTTGGGCTGATATTCCTGCTTTGGGCTGCTGGGAAGCTCCAGGCAGTTGGGAGTAGTAGAGCCCTAGCAGGTGCTTGTAAAAGCAGCATGTACAAGGGTGAAATCCTGGTCATCTTCCAGTCCTTTCCCAGGATGCAAACAAGTTGAAAGCAATAGTAAATACACATAGTAAAGATGAAAATACTCATTCTGTTTCTCTGCATAAATTCTTGACCTTGTGCAACAGAGTTTAGGCAGTACTTATGAGTTACATGGATTTTTTGCAATTGCTATGGGACAGCTGATGTATGTGATCCCATAGAAAAACATGTGAAGACTAGAAGTCAACTCCAGCCTGAATACAGATTTTCTGGGGGGAGCTGACTTCAATTTGTTGAAAAACAGAATTTCTCACACCAAAATGAATATCTTGTATAAAATTTCTTCACTACAATGCTTGCATAGATTGCATATTTTAATCTTTATTACTTTTCTTTTCATCATCTTGGATTTTACAGGTGAAGCAGCTTAAATGTCCTAGGATTTCTGTTTGGACTTAGACCCCCAGGCATCTTTCTGCTCAGACATGGAACAGCAGTGCGCATTCTGGACAGCACAGTCACCTTTCCTTCAATGCTCAAAAAGGGTCAGTAAGATTATTTGATAGATCAGCCTTATATTACAATTCAATTTTTCATCTAGATTTTGACAAAATCAACTTCAGATAATGTTTCTACATGTGCATACGCACCTATGAAATAGAATTATAAAATGGTTTGGGTTGGAAAAAGATCTTAAAGATTTTGTGGTTCCAAACCACTTTCTACAGGCAGGGACACTTGCCACTAGACCAGGGACCTCAAAGCCCCATCCAGCCTGGCCTTGAACACTTACAGGGATGAGCCATTCACCACTTCCCTGGGTAGCCTGTTCCTTTGCCTCATCACCACCACAGCAAAAAATTTCTTCCTTACATATAATTCAAACCCACCCTTCTTAAATTTAAGGCCATTCTCCCCATCCTATCACTGTGTACTCTTGTAAGAAGTCCCTCTCCAGCTTTGCCCATGAGTGAAACAAGCACAGGTGTGTGTATCTACAAGAAAAACAAGTTAAAGAAAGCATGCTCACCTGGGATCCTGGAGGGCATCACCCAGGAGTGCCCTCAGGGCTGTTGGTGTCCTAGGATCATGCCAGCAGATGGAGAGCACGCTGGTCCTACAGCAAGAACCCCACAAAGGGCCAGGTGATGGCCATGGACACAGAGCCAAAACAGATGGTCAGATGGCCATTTGCACACAAATGTCCACAGCGTGAAAGAAAAGGAAGACTAAAATTTCTCCCTGTGCATATATTTGGTGCAGGTGGTGACCTGGGGAGGTGGCAGCTCCCTGGTGTGATGTTCTTGCCCCCAAGGCCCTTCAGCAGCTGGATGATCTCCCTGTTGTGCTTCAAGGAGAGGTCCTGGCCACAGGTGTTGAGTAGGAGCACCAGGGCATGGCCAAGGCCAAGCAGGTCTCTCATGCAGTGGAGGTCAGCCCACAGATGGGAGGTGCTGCCCTAGACCACCCTCTTTGCCCAGGAAATGAGGGAGGCGCCGAGAAAGAAGCTCTGCCTGCTGGAAGGGAAATGGCTCCTTGAATGACATCCACATGAGCACAGTAGACATTCTGGAGCACGAACAGCTCCCTGAAGAAAAGCTCAAAGGGCTCTAACTCTTTGTGCAATGTCATGAGGTAGGCGAGGGTGCAGGCAGCCTCCTCGGCTGCGAGGGCACAGGTGATGCGGTGGTTCTGTGTGACATACCCCCTGCAGTTGGGTTCTCTTCCTTCAGAAAGACGCCTTGTCTTCAATAAATGCTTTACAGGCTTCTGCTAAAATCAAACTCGCTGAGAAGTTCAACCTCCAAAGAGGTTTTTGTGCTTGCAAATTAACAGCGTAGAAAACAAATGGAAGTGAAACACTGTGACGCAGAACTGCAAAAAGGCAATATCTGATGTTGTGATTCATTGCTCCTCAGAAAAAGTCTTGAAATACAACATCAGACACCACCAACAGCTTGTTTTGATGGCTGTCCTTGCTTCCTGCTGGAGAACTTGTGAATCCATCTGATGCAGAGCATGCAGCTGCTGCCCTTACTTTCAATATTAATAGTTGCACAGTCACTGATGTAGAAGCAGCGTAAGTGAAGAACAACTTGCAGATGCAAGCTGCTCCACAGCACCCTGAAGATTAAACAGGCATATTGCATAATTACTGTTGTGCCAATGAGCAGCTGGCACATATTTCAGAGTGTCCCCAAATTCAATGTATGGATATGTTCTCAACTGCTTCCTCCCCACTCTCCCTGCATGTATCATATAGCTGTTAAAATTTCTGTCCATGTAGCCTGACAGGAAAACCTCATATTTATCTTATGCCATTCTTTTTTTTTTTCTTTTTTTTTTCTTTTTTTTTTTTTTTTTTTTTTTTTCACTTAAAGGATTTTTTTAACCACCCCAATGTGTCAGTCATCAGTCACACTTTGGGGTGCTTCTGAATTGTGAAAGACTTTTGACATGAAATAAATACTAATTCAACATGTCTCAGTGACAATTACACTACTAGATCAACATATATGTAAGCTATTTTGTCCTTTCTGCTCTTTGATATTCCAGATAAATACAATTTATAGAAGGCAATAATCAGAAACCCAGTTCAATACATACCATTTCCCAGCGAAAGAGCACAGGCTGAAGAAGAACCACTCATCCACCCTCTACCTCTATATTCCTGTCTTCACTATTCTTCATTTCTCATGTAAGGCCACCAACATTCACATATAAGAAGCAGGAGAATTTTTGCCCCTGTGTCAAACTATGTCACAGTATCAGTTTTTTTCAGCAATATTTTCATTTGCACATTTGAAATCTGACAAACAGTTTCTACTAAGAGTCATGGATGTGTTGTGATGAGTTCCAGGCTTACATCCATCACAAGGGACTAGGTTAGCAAAATGTGCTATTTAAACTATTTAAATTAACCCTAGCTTTCTGATAAGACATTTGTATTTCTAAGAGCTGTGTATGCATCTGGTATAACATGCTTATGCAATGAGAGCTTGACATAGCTCTGACTAAAGTGAAATCCTTGGTAAGTCTCCTTGTTGAGCTGTGAATCTGTTCATGTGGATCTCCTGCCATGACAGAGCAAGTTTGGGGCATGCAAACTTTTCTCAACATCACATTCTTTTGCTCCAATGTAAAGCAATGCTGAGGCAAAACCTGTTGATCTGAGATTTTGCCAGTAAATGTTCTGAGTGGGCAGTGCATTGTGCTACAGAGGGAGAAATGCTGCTGCAGGCCAACAGTACAGCTTGTTAAAGCTGCACAGATCCTGAGCTGACACTACTATCCAAGTCTAGCAAAGAAATGCACAGCAAACACCACCATGAGGGAAAACATGTCCTAGCTCAGGCACTGGTGAATGCTGTCCAAGGGAATACAGACCTGCCCAGAGTGCTTCCAACTCATTCCTAATTTGATTGTTAGGCTGTATTATACCCACTCCCCTGTGTGACACCTCAGAAAGGCAAATTGCCATGGCAGCTGGTGACTATAAGGCCAGCAGCCTCTCGCTGTCCTCTGTGCATTCCACAGACTGTGGAGTTCAGCCTTCCCACCTCCTCACTGCATCAGCTGGCTGCAATACCATATCTCCCCTTCTGCCATAATCTTAACATAAGATCTCCATCCAGCTGGAGTTAGGAGGGTGTGGAAGGAGAAAAGCAGGGGAAAGATGGTAGCATTCTTGCAGGAGTCAGGGTTTCATTAAGGGGGGTCTCAGCTGGGGGTAGAGAGCACAGGTAGCTTTTCTGAAGTACAAAGGCTGAGATCTTTCAAGGCATTTGGATGCCTTGGAAAGTGTCAGATTTTTAAAACTGCAGTAATATTTCAAAACAGTGTAATCTGCTACACAGGTAGGAAAGCCTCTAGGATCTCAAAATACATACATTATATATATATATATATGAAAGGAGATTCTTAGTTGTTGAAGCCTGTATTACTAGCATGGTCCATATGAAACAAGTAAAGCTACATGCAGAAAATGAGATGAGTCTGCTCTTCACAGGAGTGCAATGCAAGATTTAATTTTTCCTTGGTGTCTTTTGTTGTTGGTTTGAGGTTTTTTCTTGCACAGACATTGGTGCAGAACCTTTGCAGAAATCCAGAGTCACTGTGATCCTTTGGTACCAATAACCTTGGGTGAAAGAAGGCTGCATGCTTGGTGCTGCTTCTTAATCTCAGTGCCTTCATTGGCTGGCACAGTTAATATTTAGATACCTGAAAACATGCATATAAATAATTGCTGTGGGAAATCAAGCTGTCAAAACCTTTGGGGTTTTGAGCGACTTTTTTGGGTTTCTTTTTTAGCTCTGGTTCTGCCTTTTGCTGCTCTGTGTGAAATAGGCCCATGCTTGAATTATAGGCAATATTCACCAAACAAAACTAACCACCCGCCCCCACCCCAGGAAAAAAAAAAAAAAAAGCCAACACACAAACCAAAAAACCAAACAAAAAAAAACAAACCAAAGCCAGCCAAACAAACAAACAAAAAAATACAAGTCACATGAGTGGCCTCAATGGAAAAAGTATTTTTTACATATTGGTGTTGCTGATTTACAGACTCATCCAAAGTTCAGATGCAAGAAGCGGCCAAATCTAGATGTACATCTGAACCATATTACAGAACCTGTCATCAGCAAGGTGTGAGGAAACATCATGAGAGTCCTGGCTTCTTCTGTTGAACATTGTATTGGACCTCTGCATATCCTGGGTGCAAGAACAGAGTTATGGGACAAAAAAAAAAAAAAAAGATTATTGAATTTACCATGCAATTTAACAAATAGGCTGTGTAAAATGGTTCTGTGCTGGTGGAACTAAAACTGCTGCTGACTGAGATTTGCAGTGCCACTCCTTCCTATTGTTCCCTGGACCTGCACTGAAGCAATTTTCATTACCCTGAGAAGAGTTTTTGGTGTGGCTCTTGTAGTAGAAACATACTCCCCAGTAGGATTGGGGACTGAAATGTCTTCTATGTGGATGAATGGGAATAGACCTTTCCAGACAGTGAGGATATTATCTTAGGAATAGGGTTAGTACTCAGTCAACTGCTCTTGGCCTTAACAAATATAGGTACTTGGTTTCAGCTAATTTGTTAGCTAATTTAAAAAGCAAGATGCACAAGTTTTGCACATTGGTTTTGAGTTCCTGTTTGGCCTCAGTCAGTAGCGACAAATGTGATGCATTTCATGTTCATTTGGAGTCCCTTGGCTTTTTTTATTCTGTTGTTAGGACAAAACCATCATGTTATTCCTTTTCCTGGCCCTTTCACGCAAAGCTGTCAGTTTGAACTGGCACCACTGTTAAACTCACAGTGAGCCTGTAGGGAGCAAACAATTTTTCCTCAGTGTGGTTTTTCTGGTTTGGAAGAGCACGTAGCCACAGTTTGCTGTTTCATGCCCAAGTAAAGGATCTCTTCATCCTTCATGCCTTCTGAACTCAATGAGATGAAACTGCTTTGGTCTTGTGTTGGTTTGGGATGCCCTACAGTGTGCATGGCCTCTCTAAAACTCTCCCCTTGAAGCAGCCCTGCCTGGCAAGGGTCTTCTCTAACACATGCCTTACTCACATGCCCTGTCTGAGCTGGACGCTATCAGCACAGGGGAAGTGAAAGCAGACTCTGAGCACAAAAGCAGTCAAACTTTATTCCTATCTCTCCTCTGCCTTCCCTTTTTCCTTGTTCATAGCAGTCCCTGCCATTCCTGCACTTTCCAAGCCACCAAAATCTGACTGTAGAAAGAGAAGAAAATTCAAACCTACCTGGAGCAGGAGATCCCAGGCAGGCACACTGGCACCGGACGGTCACAACGCAGCAGCACAGGCAGCAAACCGGAGGAGAGATGGAATGACACATTGAGGCAAGTGCCAGCTCAGCTCACACGGGCCAGAAAAACCATCGAGTAATCTAATTGCACCCAGTCAGTGAGCACATCTGGCTGCACAAACAGCAGGGGCCAGACAATGCATCCATCTCATCTGCCTTTGTCTTGCTGCCGTCTGGAGCTGCAGACACAGAGCCTCCTACCCTGCAGCAGCTTCACCGCTTGCCTGCATTTGCAGCAGACTCTCAGTACAAAGGTTTTGGGAATAGGTAAGCTGCCTAGCCTCTTAGCAGAGCGCATTTTGCAAGTCAGACTTACTCTGCTCCAAAGCAGAGCACTCGACAGCTCCCTCCTCCAATTAATTTCCAACAGGGACATGTATTCACCTCTGTGCAAACTGCTCCTCATCACCTGCTCAGGAGCAACAGCACGGCATCCTCTTCCCTGCTCATTTATCCTCCTGCACAGGGAAAGCAAGACATAATTAAACACCTCCTAATAGAGGACAGGCAGGCTGTGGTGGTGAAGCTGGTTTTCTCCTGTAAATATGACTAGATTTTATAGCTGACACTGGTGTAGTCAAGGCACAGATAGAGATCTGTTTTCTCCCTGCAGATTAAAATCCACATGAGTGTACAGTAAAGTAAAATTGTACATGTGCAGCTACCATTTGCCATGGAGGAGTGTCCGAAGGCAACTTACAATGGGTTTTGCAAACATTTGGGCACTTGACAGCTTTATGAGCATGAACTCAAGGTGTTCCCCTCGGTGTGTGAAGAGAGGCAGAGGGTGTTAGACCCTCAGGGAGGTGTCAGGGCAGGGCAGCGTCCCTGCAGCCCGGTGTCTGCATGGCCAAGGGTCTGCTCCCAGCTGCAGGTGTGTGAGCAGATAGAGGAGCAAAGCAGCTCCATTTGCAGGTTGGGAGTCACCTGCTCTGCCAAGCAAGTCTGACAGCTCTGTACCACTGCTGGTACAGGTGACTGGCTGTGTCAGAGGGAACAGGTATATGGATCAGATCACTGTTGTTATTTTCAATGCCTCCACTAAACATGTAGCTTTATCATGCTCTTTATTCTGACAATATAAC